CGGGGAAACACGGATACCTTGCAAAGAATACCAAGTCACAGGTTCCTGGGATGGTGCACGGGGTGGAGGGAGGGGTCCGGGATCTCAACAGAAACGTGCCCGGGAGAGCGTGCAGACGCCGTGTCACAGACAACCCAGAAAGTCGCCCACCGCCCCACGCCCCGCTCTGCGCAGCGCGCGCTCCCGGCCCGGGCGCGCGCGCGGCATCTTCTAACCACGTGCAAAAGCCACACACACGCACACACACACACACACACACACACACACTGCCTTTTCCCTTCCACCCTCGCCCCCGTCCCGGCCCCACGTGCACCCATAGGTGGGGGTCCGCTCACGCCGGCACAGGCAGAATCTTCTCCAAGTTGCGCTGGCAAAGTCCCTGCCGCCCCCCTTCCTCCCTCCCTCTTTCCCTCCCTCCTCCCCTCCCTCCCTCCCTTTGGTCCCCTGGAGCCTGGAGGGGCGTGGCCGGCCCCTCTGATATAAGGCTCCCAAGGCAGATGCTGCGATTTCCGAGACCCACCCCCCCACCCCCCAAAGGCCATGGTTCCCTGGTGGATGTCTGCGCTCCTATCCCAGCTGGTGATCCCGGTGCTCTTTTGCCTACCCCAGGTCAGAGCCGGGCTGGAGACGGAATGGGGAGGGATGGACATCTGGGGGAGGGGGGTCTGGGGTCTGGAGGTCTTGGGGAGGGGTGGCGAGGCCAGCAGCTGCCCGGTTGCCCCGGGTCCCCTCACCCCGTATCTCTGTCTCCCAGGCACAGCCGGCTGGTGTCTTTGAGCTGCAGATTCACTTTTTCGGACCCGGGCCAGGTCCAGGGGTCCCGCAGAACCCTTGCAGCGCCCTTGGTCCCTGCCGCCTCTTCTTCAGGGTGTGTGTGAAGCCGGGGGTGTTGGAGGACGCCGCCGCCGAGGCCCCGTGCGCCCTGGGCGCGGCGCTCAGCGCGCGCGGCCCCGGCTCCCCGGAACAGCCCAGAGCGCCCGCGGCCCATCTGCCGCTGCCCGACGGGGTCCTGCGGGTGCCCTTCCGGGGCGCCTGGCCGGTGAGCCTGACCCTGGACACTCCTGTCCTGTCCCCCCCCCCGATTCCTTCCTGTCCCTCCCCCAGCTTCCAAGACCTAACCGGGCCTCATGGGAGACGAATTCCTAGACCCTACCTAATGAGACCCATAATATTCTATCCATAACTTCTTTGGGGATCTCGTTGGGGACCCCAAGTATCTAGAGCGCATTCTTCTTTTTCTGGAAACCCTAAATGCATACAAGCCTGCCTTTGGTTCCTGAAAGATGAGTGAAAATTGGATAGTCGTTCAGAGATCCCTGATCTCTCCTCTTTTCCATCCTCAATTCTTCCAAAAACTCATTTCTTTTTTTCTTTTCTCTTTCTTCTTTCCTTTCCTTCCTCCTTCCATCCGTCCTTTCTTTTTTCTTCCTTTCTTCTTTCTCCTTTCTTTCTTTCCTTTCTTCCCCCTCTCTCTTTCTTCTTTCCTTCCTTTTTCCTTCTTTCCTCTCTCCTCTCCCCTTCCTTCCTTCCTTCCTTGGGTCTCCTGTTTGCTAGGCAGGAGCTTAACCACTGCAGTCTCCAAGACCCAGTCCCAGAGCGATGTCCCAGCCCTTTGAGGCAGGTCCCTAGCTTGGCTTCCTCCTCCACCAGCCTAAAGTACAAACATGAACAGACCAGGATTTGAACTCTACCTCTCGTCCTTTGATATCCCCTCTTGTGCTCTTGTCCTTTGAATAACTTCCACCCTTTCAGTCTTCATTTTCTCAGTGGTAAAGTGGTACTGTTCTTGTATCTCACGGTGAGGGGAAGGGACCTGGAATGAAGTACATATCACGAAGAAAGCCAGAGACAGCTAGCTGTAGTGATGCACACACACCTGTAGTCCCCTCCACTTTAGAGGAGAAAGTAGGAGGATCACTCAGTCCTGGCCAGGCTATAGCATAAAACACTATCTGCAAGGGGCTGGGAAGGTGGCTCAGTGGTAGAGTGCTTGCCTTGCATGTCTGAAGCCCTGGGTTCAATTCCTCAGCACCACATAAGCAGAAAAAAAAGCTGGAAATGGCGCTGTGGCTCAAGTGGAAGAGCGCTAGCCTTGAGCTGAAGAGCTGAGGGACAGCGTTCAGACCCCACGACTGGACCACACCCCCCCCCAAAAAAACCACTATCTGCAAATAAAGAAATAAAACACAAGCTGGGCGCCAGTGGCTCATGCCTGTAATCCTAGCTACACAGGAGACTGAGATCTGAGGATCATGGTTCAAAGCCAGCCTGGGCAGGAAAGTCTGTGAGACACATCTCCAATTAACCACCAGAAAAACCAGAAGTGGTGCTGTGGCTCAAATGGTAGAGCACTTACCTTGAGCTAAAGACTCAAGGATAGGGTCTAGGCTCACAGTTCAAGCCCAACGACTGACCAAGAAACCCACAAAGGACTGGAGGCATAACTCTGTGGTATAGTGCCATGCAGCATGCCCTAGGTTTAAAACCCAGTACTGAAGAAAGAGGGAAAAGAAAAAAGAACAAAACAAAAACCACTAAAGCAAGGAAAAGAAAAGAAAGCCAAGGCAGACTTGCCTTTCCTGATCCAGTCCCTTTGATATTGTCCCTTGCTTGTTCCATTGGGGGAAAAGGCCACCTCTCTGCTTGTACTCTGGCCTTCACTCAGTGTCTGTCCTGACTACTGTCTTACCTTCTTTCTTCTCCTTCTCTCTCCACACAATCAGGGCACCTTCTCCCTCATCATTGAAACCTGGAAAGAACAGCTGGGAGACCAGGCTGGAGGTGAGTGTCTGGTGGAGGTTCACAAAGCCCAGTGGGGTTGGGGGTCCAGGATAGTGACTTGAGGCTGTCTGCAGGGTGGGGCATTCCCTGGACCCCGGAGCCAATGACACCATCACGGCCTTGGAGGGTGTGTGGATGTAGTCTCTGGTCTTGGTACAGGTTGGGGATGAAACCCAGAATCTCTTGCAGTTTTATAGACATATACATACATGCATATATATATATATATAGAGAGAGAGAGAGAGAGAATATATAGAGGGGGGGCAGTTGGGGGCTTGAACTCAGGCTTGGTGCTGAGCTCTTTTGCTCAAGGCTAGCACTCTACCACTTTGAAGCTACAGTTCCACTTTTGGTTTTTGAGTGATTCATTGAAGATCAGAGCCTCATGGGACTTTTTCTGCCCTGGCTTGTTTCAAACTGTGATCCCCATATCTCAGCCTCCTGAGTAGCTAGGATTACAGGTGTGAGCCACCAGTGCCTGGCTCCTTTTTTTTTTTGTGTGCCAGTCCTGGGGCTTGAACTCAGGGCACTGTCCCTAAGCTTCTTTTGCTCAAAGCTAGCACTCTACTACCAGCCACAGAACCACTTCTGGCTTTTTCTGTTTATGTGGTACTGAAGAATTGAATTGAATCCAGGGCTTCATGCATGCTAGGCAAGCACTCTTCCACTAAGCCACATTCCCAGCCCCTCAATTTTTTTCCTCCTTTTTCTCTTTCTTTTTTTTTTTTTTTTGGTCGGTCGTGGGGCTTGAACTCTGGGCCTGGGCACTGTCCCTCAGCTCTTCAGCTCAAGGCGAGCGCTCTACCACTTGAGCTACAGCGCCACT